ACAATCCACACAAGTTAAATAATTGGGTAGGGTGATAAGATGAGGGTGATTGCTTTTATTTTGAATATTCTAGAATGGTGTTTACAAGAAGTGTGAAGTGTAGACGTGAGAGACCCTAATTATGTATCCTAAATAATAATCTAATATTGCCTGGCTGAACCCCAGTGAGTCAGACTTTGGGACACTTGACCACTCTATCCACACTTACATAAGACTGACTTGTATAAGAAAGTCAGTAATTTTTATATTGGTATATATCTCTTTGTAGGTCAGAAACCTACTTGGGTAAATAAATGAGGCTCAGAATGGAGCTGAGAAAAAATACGAGATTGGAAGAATGATACATCCATTAACTATGAAAGTTTTCCAATGGCTTTCTCTCTGCCTTTAAAAGTGCTAACCATCTTCTCTGGCTACAATCATTTGAGCATGTACCTTTTCCAACAAACTCCTAAGTTCTTGAAAACAGGGACCCCATCCTTTTTGCTCTGCTTAACCTTCCCAGAGTGCACACCTAGCACAACATGTGGTGCCTGGTAGTCTGTCAATCATTTCTATTGAACACATGAGCATCCCAGCTGCCAAACTCTGCATCCACTTGTCCTCTGTTATGGATTGAATTGTGTCCCCCTAAAATATTTACTGAAGCTCTGGCTCCCATATCTGTGGGTGTAATTCTGTTTGAAAATAGGGTTTTTCTTTTGTTAACTTGATGAGGTGAGTTTTAAGACTTGCCTGATTTCTGAGTTATAAAAAGAGTAGAATACACACTGAGGTATTCACAGGGGGAAGAGAAAGATAACAGAGACAAATGCATCCTCAAGCCCAGTGTGATGCAATGAATGCCTTCTTGTGCCCTTTTGCCTTATTTCTTTGGAAAAAGAGCTTGGGAGATTTTTACTCTAAACCCTGAAGAGTTGTTACCTTTGCCCTAATTCTTTGGAAAAGCAACTTGGTGGACCTCCTAGAGTGCTTTCTTCCTAGAGGGTTTGTTAATTTGGCTTAAGAGAGGAGCAGGCCTCTCTGAGTAGAAAATGATACTTTTGTACAAAATCTGAGTTGATGGACAGCCCATGGATAGTAGAAGATTACTTGAACTGTTGTTGTTAGGTGTCATAGAGTCAGCTCCAACTCATAGTGGCCCTATGTACAACAGAACAAAACATTGCCTGGTCCTGCACCAGTCTCACAATCCTTGCTATACCTGAGCCCATTGTTGCAGCCACTGTGTGAATCTATCTTGTCAAGGGCTTTCCCCTTTTTCGCTGACCCTCCACTTTCCCAAGCATGATATCCTTCTCCAAGGAATGGTATCTTCTGACAACATGACCAAAGTAGGTGAGACAAAGTCTAGCCATTCTGACTTCCAAGGAGCATTCTGGTTACACTTCTTCCAGGACAGATTTGTTAGTTCTTCTGGCAGTCCATGGTACTTTCAGCATTCTTCACCAGCACCACAACTCAAAGCATCAACTCTTCTTCAGTCTTCCTTATTCATTGGCCAGCTTCCATGTTCATATGAGACTACTAAAACTACCACGGCTTGAGTTAGATGCACCTTAGTCTTCAAAGAGACATCTTGCTCCTCGTGGTTGTTGTTGTTGTTATGTGCCATCGTGTCGGCCCTGACTCATAGCGACCCCTCCTTGGGTTTCCGAGGCAGTATCACTACGGAAGTAGGATTGCCCAACCTTCCTTCCAAGGAGTCGCTGGTGGGTTTGAACCGCCAGCCTTCTGGTTAGCAGTGAAGTGCTTTAGCCACTATGCTACCAGAGCTCCTTGCTCCTCAGCACTTTAAAAATGTCTTTTGCACCAGATTTGCCAAATGCAGTACTGATTTCCTGACTGTTGCTTCCATTGGTGTTGATTGTGGAACCAAGTAATATGAAATCTTTGACAACTTCAATCTTTTCTCCATTTATCATGATGCTGCTTATTGGTTCAGTTGTGAGGATTTTCATTTTCTTTATGTTGAGGTATAATCCATACTGCAGACTGCAGTTTTTAACCTTCAACAGTAAATTCTTCAAGCATCTTCACTTTCAGCAAACAAAATTGTTTCATCTCCATATCTCAGGTTGTTAATGATTCTCTCTCCAATTGCCAAAAAGGCAAAGAGGTGGCATGTTCTGACCTCCTCTAACCCCACAAGAGGAAGACAGAATTATCATCAATAGCCCAAGGCCTATTCCTGTGAGGCCAGACTTGCTGCCTCCCTCCAGCCTTTTCATAAACCCTGACACTAACCATTCCTCCCACAGCACCCACCACCTTTCTGCTGGGTTCAATAGTTCACTGCAGTGGCCATACAGAACTCACAGATTATGGGGTTTAATAGAGAAGCACCAGGCTACAGTTCAAGTTCAGGAACAGCACTCAGTCTCTCTCAGCCCACTGTCTCTCAGCCAACAGTCTCTCAGTCTCTCTCCCAGGAGTGCATGTCTCTCTCAGCAATGTGTGTCTCTTGCATCTCTTTCCCAGCAGCACGTGTCTCTCAGGAGCATGTGTCTCTCAGCAGCACATCTTCCTCAGCCAGCAGTCAGAAAGACTTCTGCCTCTAGGAGGCCTCCTTTTGAGCCTGGCAGAGTGGCCAAACTAACCAATCATAACATCAGAATTCTAAGCACCTGAGAGAGAGCAAACTTCCCAGAACATTACTTTCTGCTACTCCCAACAGAAATATCCCAGGTAGATGATTTTAACAATCAGAAGCTACTCAGTTTCTCACAGCAAATTCCACCATAGAGTTTACAAAGACTTATGGCTAGGTAATTTACTACACTGCACCAATCCTGATACCACCATGTTCTTCTTCATATAGTCCAGCTTCTCAGATTATTTGATCAGCATACATATTGAATAAGTATGGTAAAAGGATACAACCCTGACTCACTTCCTTTCTGATTTTAAACCATGCAGTATCCCCTTGCTTTGTTTGAATGACAGCCTCCTGGTCTATGTACAGGTTCCTCATGAGCTCAATTAAGTGTTCTGGAATTCCCATTCTTCTCAATGTTTGGTATGATCCAATTTGGTATGATCCAAACAAATGAATGCTTTTGCATAATCACTAAAACACAAGTAAACATCTTTCTGGTATTCTTTGCCTTCAGCCAAGATCCATCTGACATCAGTAATGCTATCCTTCATTCCACATCCTCTTCTGAATCCAACCAGCCATTCCTCGGAAGGAAGGTTGGACAATCCTACTTCCGTAGTGATACTGCCTCGGAAACCCAAGGAGGGGTTGCTTTGAGTCGGGGCCGACTCGACGGCACATGACAACAACAACAACTTCTGAATCCAGTTTGCATTTCTGAAATTTCTCTGTATACTGTTGCAACCATTTTTGAATTATCTTCAGCAAGATTTTACTTGTGTGTGATATTAATGATATTGTTCAATAATTTCCACATTCTGTGGGATCACCTAGGGAGCTCTGGTGGTATAGTGCTCAAGGCATTTGACTGCTAACCAGAAGGCTGGTGGTTCAAACCCACCAGCCACTCCTCGGAAGGAAGATTGGGCAATCTACTTCCATAGAGATACCAGCTTGGAAACCCAAGGAGGGGTCACTATTAATTGAATCAACTCTATGGCAGTGAATTTGGTTTTTTGGTTTTTTTGGGTTTTTTGTTTTGTTTTTTTTTTTTTTTTTGCTTCAGTGAGATCACCTTTCTTTGGAATGGGTACAAATATGGATCTCTTACAGTCAGGACTGGGAAATATAAACAACTGAACTGCAGAGGTGTTGAAGCTTCCTGGTTGGCAAGAACTGGAAGAACATGTCCTTTGGGACACAGAGGCCCCTCCCAAGTCTGGTTGAAAAAAAAATAAAAAATAAAAAGGCTACAGCTGAGAAAGATGTTCGCTGAGAGCTGGACTGGCAAAGAAGCAGAGCCATATGGGAACTGAGAAGTCCTGACACTGCTGTGCAGGTCATCAGCTGGGCCAGCTAGCAGCAGAGAGGCCTGATAAGGAGAAGAGCCGAGAGAGCTGTGCTGCTTGGAAGCTATCCTGCACTGAGATGAAGGGAGGGATGTGCTCTCCACTTCAGGGGAGACTTTCAGACCTTGTTTGTGTGCTTCCTGATCCTGATCCTAAGTTGATCTTGATCCTGAATTGTGGTCTGTTCCTTCCTAATAAACCACATAACTGTGAATAAGATTTGTGAGCTCTGTGTGGCCACTGCAGTGAATTATCAAACCCAGCAGAGAAGTAGCAAATGCCATG